TCTCTGTGTTGATCTCAGGCTCCTGGCCTCCACTGTATGTTGTACTCTCCCTTGAGCTATGGCCAGGATGGGGGTGCTGCTTGCAAGCCAGGCTTTCCCGCTCGCAGCTTTCCATGGCGACCAGGGAGTAGGCCCAGCTGGGGGCTGTCCGCAGGCTGGGCTTTCCTGCTCCCGGATCAGGCGCAGCTGGGGGCTGCCCACAAGCCGCACTTTTCTACTTACTGATGGCCGGATCACCACAGCGACCCAGGGCCCAGTGGCACTTTCCTGCTCTCCAATAGTCATAGATGTCCTGGTGGGGGCAGGGCTTAGCAGTGCAGGGCTCAGGTGGCACATAGGGGTCCCAGCTGGGGGCGGGGCTTATGCTCCGCTGCCTAGGGCTGCACATGGGGCCCGGATGGCAGCTCACGCTGTCCCGCCCTGCCTGTAGTATAGGATAGAGGCCTGGTGCACGGGTGGGGCCAGCTGGTCTGTCACTGCAGCTGAGAGCCGGCTCCAGCTCTGAGGGCTGAAAGCAGGTTTCTGGGTCTGTTTGGCTTCTATAATTGAAACTCTGTTGCCATCATAGCAGCTCTAAGCTCTGAGGCTGAAGCTGGCTGAAAGCAGGTTTCTAGGTTTGTTTAGCTTCTATAATTGAAACTCTGTTGCCATTACAGCAGCTCTAAGCTCGGAGGCTGAAGCTGGCTGAAAGCAGGTTTCTGGAGCCTGTTTAGCTTCTATAATTGCAATATAGTTGCTTAGAGTGCAGCTCAGAGCCGGGTTGCGGCAGGTGGGGAACCTTGGCTTCCTTCATCGCTGGAGCAAGCAAGCCTCCTGTTCGCTTCAGCTGCGTGGCTTCCAGTTGCCATCTTGGTTAGCAGTTAATTTGCATATCACCCTGATTAGCCAATGGGAACGGTGTCGGGGTTATGGTCAATTTGCATGTTTCTCTTTTATTAGATAGGATGGCTTGTCCTGCTCAAGTTGAAGGGCAAAATTTCTCATACAAGATTAAAAAAATTGAACTATAAACTGTTGAACATCAAAATGATAAAGGTGCGACTTTAAAACGTGTATCATAAATCTAAAAGAAATCTGATACAGCTACTTAATGTCAGAAAAATCTATCTCTGGTTTTTAGGATATCAATGTAATCAATTTCTGAATATTAATCCTGATACTTTACTGTTCATTTTTTAGTTCTAGTTTTTTAGAGGATTCTTTAGAGTTCTCTCTATATGATGTCATGTGATCTGCAAATATTGACAGTTTTACTTCTTTCTTTCCAATTTGAATGCCTTTTATTTATTTTTGTCTAATTACTGTGGTTAGGAATTCCAATGCTATTTTTTGTTTCTTCCTCATTCAGCCTTGGAAGATTATATGTTTCTAGGAATTTATCATTTTGGGGGGTTGTCCAATTTGTTGGCATATAATTGTCCATAGTATATTCTTATAATCCTTTGTATTTCTGTGGTTTCTGCTGCATTCCTTTTTAAAATTTATTGTTGAATGTATTTCAGATGTCCCCTTCTTTTCTCCAGTGAACCCCTCCACCCCATATTCACCCCCATCCCCAGGCCCTGTTGTCTGTGTCCATGGGTTATGCATATAAGCTCTTTGGTTAATCTCTTCCTGCCATCCCTCACTGCCCCCCTCCCCTCTCAGATTCATCAGTCTGTTCCATGTCTCTGGATCTGTTTTGCTGATCAGTCTATTCATTGGATTCCACATATAAGTGAGATCATGTGATATTTATCTTTCTCTGACTGGCTTATTTCACTTGACATCTGCTATCATTTCTCTTTCATTTCTGATTTTATTTGGGCCCTCTTTTTTTCTTGACAAATCTGGATAAAGTTTTATCAATTTTGGTTATCTTACCAAAGAACCAGCTCTTGGTTCCATTGATTTCTTCTATTGTTGTTGGGTTGGGGTGTTTTTTTTTTTACTCTAGTTCATTTATTTGTTCTGATCTTTGTTATTTCCATCCTTCTACTCACTTTGGACTGTCTTTGTTCTTTTTATAGTTCCCTTAAGTATTAGATTATTTACTTGATATTTTTCTTGTTTCTAGAGGTAGACCTGTATTGCTCCAAATTTCACCTAGAGGGCTGATTTAGTAGATCTGGGGAGGGCTTGCAAACCTGCATTTCTAGTAAATTCCCAGGAGAGGCTGATGCTGATGTGGGGATCACACTTTGAGAACCACTACCCTAAGGCATCCGTTGTATGCAACATTTTAAATTCTCTCCTATGCACCTAGAATAATTGTTAAGTATGAACCTAGGGAGAGTTGTGACAATAGGTAAGGACTCAGTCTGTCTCTTTGGCTCCAAGTCTTTGTCCAGGTGATAACTCCTTAATGAGAGCTGCCCCGAGGACTCCACTTATTAGTGTGATCTCTCCCCATCTCCAGATTCTCAACTCCTCTTACTTTGATCTTCTTTTCTCTTTCTCGCCCATAGCACTTAGGCCCTAACATACTGTGATTCACTTACTTGTTTATGGTTTACTGTCTCTCCCCGCAATGAGACTATAAAGTCTAAAATGCAGGGATTTTTGTTTTTGATTCCAAGGGCAGAACAGACTTTTTTTTTAAAATATAAATGAAACATGCAAATTGAAAATGAATTGGATCCTTTCAGGTCCTCAGCAGAGTATAAACTCATTTAAAAAAATGTGCTAACTTAACTACACGTGTTCATAGGAAGAGAGCATTGTGGGGAAAACAGAGTTTTGAGACTGGGAACACCTGGGTTCAGAAGCCAGCTTCACCACTTCCTGGCTGATATGCACACAAGGTTAATGTCACATTTCTAGGGCTCAGTGCCTATACTTTTAAACTTGTGACAACACTGAGGATTATTAGAATTAGACAAATGTGTACAAAATATCTAGCACAGTCTTGTCACTAAAGAAGTGCTTACTGCATCCCACTTCCCCCTTGGTACCGCTCCTCCTCTAGCTCACACTTCACTTAGAGTACAAACTTAAAAAAGCCAGTCTTTTAAGTTTGGATAGAATTCTATCTAAAGGCACATTTTTTAAAAAAAGAATTTGCAAGGACTTTAAGCAGAACTCTATTTTTAAACATTAAAACCTTTGCATCACCTTTCCATAACTGTACCTTCAGGTGAAAAGTCTTCCAACAACTATCAAATATAATGTGGAATAACGATAATATTTTGCTGATACTGAGAAAGTATTTCAAGTTCAATCCCCACAAAGTATTAAAATCTCCCCTGGTCATGTTCATCCATAAATGTGTTTCTGGGCAACAGGCTACTTGAGTTTTCTAGTAGCCCTTCTAAATAGGACTAAAACTAAACCTTACAAGTATTTTAGAGAAGGAAATAATTTTTACAAATGTGGATATTCTATCTACCTGCTTTAGCTATAAATGCCCTGCATGAGAACGTAGCAACAATGTCCACATTCACGACTGTGATGAGATATATATATGGTATGCATACATTTATGCTGCACATTCATACATGACCTGATATTGCTGAAATAGTCTTTATTTCTGAACATTCCAAAACAGCAGTGTACACAGTAACAAATATTAAGTCATATACCATAAGAAAAGCATTCATTAGTGCAAATGGGTTTTGTAAAAGGTCTATCAAAAAGATTTATTTGCTTTAAAATGCATTCATTTCCAGAAGCATTGTTAATAAAACATTACAGTTTCATCCTCTGTAATAAAGTATTGAAAATCAGTGGTGGTATAGTAGCAAACATTGCCGGTATTAAGTGCAATGAGCTTGTGATGCCTTTATAAATATGAAACCCATGTGTGACAATAAATTAACAATGAAAAAGACGAGACCATTTAACTTGCTGTCTGGCTACCTCCTTGCAATGCTTCAGATTACACAGTGCTCATTCAACACAAAATTATGTCTCTGAAACTGTTTGGTGGATTTTTGCTGATATATCCTCAGAGTTAAAAAAATAGTCCCTTACCACAAAAATATTTTTATGGCACAAAATTTAAGTTGTTCCATAGTGGTTCACGTAGATGTAAAAAGAAATAGGCACAAAAAAATAAAATTCCTGTAAACTATAAAAAAGTAAATTTCAAAGCATACATTGATCGAACATATTTGTAAATATGTAATGTATTAAAACACAGAACATGTACTGGGAAGATGTTTAGAACACATAAGTAAATTGAACAAGTTACTTTAAAAACTCATATGGCAAAGAAAGCATTAATGATACATCTCAATTCTCTCAAAAAGTGTTCAGGTACGTAGCAGTTCTACAAAAACTTTCTAGATCTAAGTGTCGCAATACTGCAATCATGGATTTGAGAATGCTGCAGTATCTCAGGCAAATATTTAAGTGCAATAATTAGTCTCTGGTGATTGGTTCATTGAAAAACAATGCAGTAAGTATGTTAAAATGCAAAAGGGAAAGAATATCCTGACATCCACTGTTACCCAGCCAGCTAGGTAATACAACCCTCATTTCCACTTCTTTCCCATTCTTCAAGGGTACGTAAAACTGCGTCAGTAGCAACCATCTCTCCAGTTTCCGTCCCTCAGAGTGCTGAGTGAAGACAGAGGCTTTGGAGGCTGAAGGAAACTATAAAGGTGAGAAAAAGGAAACAGAGTGTTAATAACCCTACGGGTCACCCTAGCCCGTTTGGCTCACTGAATAGAGCGTCGACCTGGAAACTGAAGGGTCCCAGGTTCAATTCCTGATCAAGGGCACATGCTCAGGTTGTGGGCTCATCCCCACCCACTAGGGGGCGTGCAAGAGGCAGCCAATCAATGATTCTCATCATTGATGTTTCTATCTCTCCCCCTCCCTTCCTCTCTGAAATCAATAAAAATATATTGTATATATAAAAAAATAACCCTACGGGTCACATTGCTTCCTTTCATCAGCTCCTCGAGTCCTGACAACCTGTTGGCACTTCCCCAAGTGAGTCTTGTGTTCAACACTCTGGAGCTTTGCAACATGCGCATCTGCTAGAAACCCAGTGCTCACCACAGTGCTATGTACTCTGCGTGGGCATGAGAGAAAAATGATCAATACCCTTAATGTATAAAACACACTTTAATCAGAAAGAAAAAGGTTAACTCAATAGAAAAAAAATGGCCCCAAAACAAATAGTTATTTCATTGATTATAAACAGCAAATTAACATAAATTTTTAAAAGCATGCTTTTATTGACTTTTTATAGAGAGAGAGAGAGAGGGAGAAAGAAACATCGATGGGGTACCTCCCATATGCACCCCAATCAGAGACCCACAACCTGGGAATAGAACCGAGACCTTTTGGTGCATGGATGACACTCAACCAACTGAGCCACACTGGCCAGAGCATAACATGAAGAAATTTTAAACCTTATGGATAATCAAACATTTGCCTATCAGATTGGCAAAGAATTAATTCCCATTGTTTTCCAGTTTGGGAAAACAGACCCTCACAAATAGTCTGGTAGTGACAACCTTTCCAGGAAGCTAGGTTGGAGACAAATAGATGGTCCTATTTACCTATACAGTATGTGTCAAATAACCTATGTATGTTCTATTCAGCCATAATCACAACACAGCTCTGCATTTACTGGGGGAGAATTTATTTAACAAATATACACCAGCGTTATTTCTATCTGGGTAGTAGGATTCTAAATCAGCCTTTATTTTCTGTGTTTTTCAATAGTTCTGAATTTGCTTCTGATCTGAGCACCTATTACTTCTAATCAGAAAATAAAAAAGCAAAACTATTTACACATACCAGTGCATAAAGAAAAACTACTTGTTTCCACATCCCTTTTAAACGTTTATTGATTCCCTCCCTCTCCTCCTTCATATATTCTTTTCTAATAAAGTTGTTTACATTTACTGCCTCCATTGTTTCATCTTCCAAGCTCTCCTCAACCCACTTTTACAGAATTTTTTTGACCATAAAACACTCCAGGATATCTAAGTTCAAGAAGGGTACTCATGACTATGAGCTCATTTAAAGTGTGTCCTGCAAGTAATCTAGAATTGTGGAGTGGGGAAGACTGTTACCTGGACCACAATGAACTTACACAAGCTAACAAAACCCACTAATTATCACTAAGATGTTTTTTTAACCATGCATGTGATGGGAAGGTATATGTGTGCACATGCATGTGTGCCTAACACAGTTGGGCTCATTTTGATAGGAAAATTGACTCATAAAACATTTGCAATCCTACTCTGTGCTGGACAAACCGCTTGCCATTAGGGACATATAGCAATGAAGCAAAGATCAACTACCCCCCTTCAGGAAGCCTGCATTTTAGTGAGGAGAAGACCACATTATTATAAACTAATAAATGGAGTAGGAGAAGAAGGGAGAGAGAGGGGGGAGGCCCTGCAAAGAGCTCCAGGAAAGGAAAAGGAAAT